TTTTTTTTTGTTTTGTTTGTGACATTAAAAGCAAATAAACAAGAGCAAACTGTTAAACTGTGAGTCACTTTAATTTTATTTCAACAGACACAACATGTGAAAGAACTGTCATATTTATCACTGTTACCAGTATTTTTAAATGAATATCAGACCTTATTATAATTGGCCCTTTGTAGTGTTTTCACACAATGACTCAATGAGTGTACTAACAGGCAAAATACTATATTAAACTAATAATACTAATACTATATTAAATTTATATAAGGGATATGTCTAATTGTCTTTATCTGAATTTAGATATTTTCTAACCATAACAGTCTGACAGCAAGAATGTGTAAACTTAGACACTAGCTTGTGAAACTAAATTCATGTTATATAATCAGAATTTAAGGTTTGTCTTAAAGGGTATCAAGAATAATAGCTTAAATTAAACCAATCAATCGTAAATGTATCAATTGCAAATTTAGGGTAACTCAACTTTTTTCTTATGTGAAATGTCTGTTGACATCTTTACTGTCTCCTAATGACACCTTTGATCCACCGGATGTATTCACAGACGTCCACAAATCCAGCTGGTTCTTGAAAGGCAAAATCCGTGTCATCAGTGAATGCAATGACACCGTAGATCTTGCCTTTGTACACCACTCCTCCACCAGTGTCGCCCTGTGAGAGAGATATTGTGTGTTATAGACTTTTTGACCATATACTGAAATAATCACCATATTAAAGTTGTAACACTTGTGATGACTGTAGAGAGGGTATAAGGTTGTGAGTCATGCCAACTCACTTTACTTTTATCCACTCCAGCCCTTTGGCCACAGAACCAGTGTTGATGCAGTCTGTGTGGCCTCAGCTCTCTCAGCTTCTGACAGTCGACAACCGTGGTGACTGCACATTGGAGGGTATTAGCTCTCCCAGGTACTAGATGGGAGTAGAAAAAAAGTATTTATTGACTACAAAAACAAAATAACTTCATTATTATCTACTTATACACACCAACAAACGAACAAATTTCTGCTGCAACGTAACACTGGAATGGGATTATTTTAAAATTCTATTCTGTTATGAAAAGCATTCAAATATATTTGAAGACAAAACACTTTCAAGACAAATTTAAAATGTATTTAATGTTAATATGTGTCAGCAATGTTACAAAACATACAAGCAAAAACACTAACTCTGATGAATGGAGATAATTGCAATCATAAACTAAACAAGATTCATCTCACCTCTTCTATTATCAGGGCCTACAGTATCTGCTCCATAACCTGCAATCTGAACTGCATCATTTCTGAAACACAGTAAAATGGAACTTTTTTTTAACAGTGTTCTTTTTAAAAATGTATGAAAAAAATTGACAGGAATTTTACATTTCAAGGTCCTCAACAGCTGAGCTTTCAGACTAATTAAAAAGGGAAAGATCACAACTCACACTCTGGGACGATTGTTACAGTCAGGAAGTGGTACAGGTTGAACCTGAGTAGGGTTAGGTAGCTTCAGCAGCATGATGTCATGAGTCCTGTTGCTGCTGTCCTTAAAGACAACGGGTTCTGATTTGATTGTCATTTGGTTTTCTCCTCCTTGTTCGAAATTTGCATATATAGTCCTAGAAGTAAGTAAAGGTAAAAGAGGATCATCATTGAATTACTGTCAATGCACCCTATTTGTATATTATAGGTCAATAATTAATCAACATGAACATAAGCATTGATGTCTTTATTTTGGGAATTTAAATCAAATCATTGTTGATTGCTGCTTCAGGACTTTCACACTGAATATGTGAGTGAGAAATATATTATTACTGGTTCAAGTAAAACTGTCACTTTCTCACCGTCCTGGTATCTGGCAGTGTGCTGCAGTCAGAATCCACTGGTTATTGATCAGAGAGCCACCACACATGTCCCAGTCCTTACCATTAGTTATATCCAACCTCACATTGTAAGGTCCACACTCTTGACCTCCAATAATTCTCTTCTGCAGATCCACCACGGTGCTCACTGTGACACCTGAAACACAAATGTCCTCCTGTAAGTTTAAACAGTGCTGTTGTAGAGAACAACTTATTCACTCTCTAGAAAGTTATCAATACACATGATGGACTGTGAAAGTGTTCTGAGCATTCCATTGATGCCTAGTTTCACAGCTTTAAATAATTGGGGTGGGGGGGG